TTCTTTGATCACCCTGGAGCTGATCATTGGCTGAGTCTTTGCCATGTTGGCTATTTGATCTGTTCGAATGGTAGTTTTCCATTTTCTTCCACATCTTTCTGGTTTTGGTTGCCATTTTAAAGCATTTGAGATCATTTTAGCTGAACAACCAATCAGTTTCTGCACTTTTTTTTATGTTTTTCCCACTCCAATCAACTTTTTAATCAAAGTACACTGGTCTTCTGAAAAATGTCTGGAATGACCCATTTTACTCAGATTTTCAGAGAAATGCACTATACCCAGCATATACTACATTTGCTGCCTTCCTTCCTTAAATAAGGGCTACCTGTTTGACACCTGTTTTTTTTTCACGGACTGAATGACCTCACTCAAAAAAAGAAAAAGCGCCAAAAATTAATTTAAATAAATACAAAAACCGCAGCAAACTTAAAACCTCAATCAAGGTGAATAATACAAACAAAAAAATAGGAATGCGCTGTGAATTACTAAATATACATCTATAATCAAAAGTCCACATAAAGTCACTTCAAAATTAGTGCACAAATTTTTTTTCAAAATTGGTGCAAAAAATATATATATTTTTGTATAATTGTGCTCATAATCCACCACCAGAAGAAATAAACTCACCAGAGCTTTTTGCTGATTAATTAAAACCAGCAAAAACACTATTGCTCTGGGAGCAGGGAAGTATCCAGGTGGCAAAATCAATACTCTGTATTGAAGAGGGATATCCAAGATTGGGAGCAATACTCTGCAACAGAAGCATCAAACCAGCACCTGGGAACCTTTTATTAAACGTATCCTCCAATCCTAGTCCAGGAGCCACACTCGGGAATAAAGAAAAAGGATGATGGTGCACCAAGTTTAAAAACATCATATTTAATCAAAAGTAAGTAAAGCACTCACAAATAAGGTGTCACGTCGACACCAGCATGATAGGCAGTCAGCAATACCATCAGATTGCAATCAGCGAGCAAACCCGCTTACCACGGATACCTCCGCTAGACAGCAGGGAACGTCCTGGCGTCACGACATCCAGGCTCTGCCCTACGAGTTTCGTCACAAATGACGTCCTCACAGAGTATTGATTTTGCCACCTGGATACTTCACTGCTCCCAGAGCAACAGCGTTTTTGCTGGTTTTAATTAATCAGCAAAAAGCTCTGGTGAGTTTGTTTCTTCTGGTGGTGGATTATGAGCACAATTATACAAAATATATATATTTTTTGCACTAATTTTGAAGTGATTTTGAAAAAAATTTTTGTGCACTAATTTTGAAGTGACTTTATTTATGTGGACTTTTGATTATAGATGTATATTTAGTAATTCACAGCGCATTTCTATTTTTTTGTTTGAATGATCTCACTAATTGAACTCCACACTGTTATTATTTGAACACGCCCCATTTAATTAATGATTCAGTTACACAGAATCAGCAGCATGCATGTCATGACTGTTGGGTCTGTTGGTTTTCTATTACTCTACTACACCCTACATCTACTACTGTGATGTTGGACTGCTATTATTTTGAACACATTTGTATATATTTACTATGGTAATGTAGGTACCTTTTCAATTTATTTTTTTTTCGCCCTATTTGCTTAGTACAGACTTGTCTGGGGACCTAATCAGGGTCCACTTGCCCATATGCATTGCGGTCAGAGTGTCTGTATTATGTACCTCAGCTGTGTTTAGGTAACTATCCAAAAACTTGGATCACAGGCCGGTGAGATTTGTCATTTGACAGCCGTGCTTTGAATATTGCACGGCGTGAGATGCTTTATCCCTGCTGAGACTCATCGCAGCTGTTTTAAGGATTTACAGTTGGGCCGAAGCGTTTGAGTCTCCAGCCAGAAGCCCTGCTCCCTTCTGTTTGAATTGATCCAGGCGTTTTAGGTGACATGATTTTGAGCTAGGCAGCAGCCTGGAGTATAAGACCATGGAGCTTCTAAGCTTCGTTCCATGTTCAGAGGCTGCTGATCATTTTTTATTTTGCCCTGTTGTCACTGTGGTAGTTTCACCTTATGAGGAAGTTAAATTGGAACTATGGGCAACATGAAAAATGACCTGTATGATTCAGCCACTCATTAGCGTTCACTCTTGCTTTTTGTTCTTTTGAGTCCCATCTGTAGTTATAGGGTCATTACTTGTTGACCCTGGCAATAAATCTGTAATTTTTCAACTTTTGAAAAGAAAAGTTCACCTTTGGGAACATGTGACATGTTCCACCAGTTTTTAGGGAGAAACATGTAACATGTTCCCACTCCTGCAGCAGATCCCCAAATATCCCCCCCCCTCCACAATTCTGTAACAGTGGTCCGGGGATCTTCTCCTCACATCTGCTGTCGTAATTTTGAACAGACTGTGGCCGTGCGGGTCTTCGCCTGTCTAGCGGCATCATTCATCCACAGAGTTCTGTGAATGGGAGAACCACATTATACTTCACAATGAATTACCACAGCGCTGTTGAGTGCTCTATGTAATTGATGCTTCCTGTCATTGTCTCTGTCTGCCTGTATAAGGTACAGGCAGACCGATGCACTGTCAGTCTGCAGGAGTCCTGCATTGCACCCGCAATCTGCTGAGAGTAGGTGCAATGCTTTACAGGCGTCTAAAAAATAAATAAATGCACTTTTTTACCTCCAAAAAAATTTGCACTTTATTAATAATTTTTTTTTTTTTTCTTTAGAAAGGTGAACTTGCTCTTTTAACAGGGTGACTAGCGTTTCAGTGGACAGGAACAGAAAGCTAATTAGTTGCGAAGAAAATCCCTTCTTTAGTGAACACCTTCCTTTTCTCTGCTCCTCCCCTAATAAAAGTCTGATTTGTGCAAGTTACTATTGAGCTCAGACAGGGATCAGCGGACACTAACCCCCTAACATGCCTCCTCCCCTCGCATGCCTATCGACAATTTTTTGTCTTGCATAAGCATGGTCAATGAGTATTCATTACCTATATGTCTGCATGTGAACGGTGTGGTTGAACAGTAGGAAGCTGGAGGGCATTATCAGCCATGCTAGCTCAGCATTCAGCACCAGAGACAGTAGTTACATTGACTGAAAAGTGCCCCTTGCACTGGTGTCTGCTCTTAGTTGAAATCTTCATTCCTTAGTTCCAAATCCCCTCCGATACCCCTGCAGCTGTGGTCTTCCAGTGCTGCTAAAGTTAATAGAAGCCACTGGACCTGTAACAGGCACTCCTCAAAAGTACAGACTATGCCTGTCATTTCCACACCTTTGCACCCCTCCCTTTCAGTTATAAAAGCTGCAGTCGTACTATCAGTTTCCATAATGAAAAGCATTCTATGAATGGACAGCAGATGAATGAAACCAGGTAGCAGGGGAACAGAAGTTGGGTTAGTGTGACTTTTTTTTTTTTTTTTTTTACGGTTACATGTGACATATATATATATATATATATATATAACCGTTTCAATACCGTGCAATTTTACACCTTCCTGCCCAGGCCATTTTTCAGGTTTCAGCGCTCTCACACTTTGAATGACAATTGCGCGGTCATACAACACTGTACCCAAACTAAAATTTTATCATTTTCTTCACACAACTAGAGCTTTCTTTTGGTGGTATTTAATCACCGCTGGGGTTTTTATTTTTTGCTAAATTAACAAAAAAAGACCAAAAATTTTGAAAAAAAAAAACACATTTTTCTTTGTTTCTGTTATAAAAGTTTACAAATAAATAATTGTTCTTCATAAATTTAGGCCGAGATGTATTCTGCTACATTTCTTTGGTGAAAATAACCCAAATTAGGATGTATTTTTTAGTTTGTAGGAAAGTTATAGAGTTCACAAACTATGGTATAGATCTGAAAATTGATCAATCCTGAAGTACTGACAGCCAATCTAATTTCTTGAGGTCCACGAATGTCAGAATAGTACAGATATCCCCCAAATGACCCCTTTTTGCAGAGTAGACAGTCCGACGTACTTCATAAGAGGCATGGCGAGTTTTTTGAAGTTGTATTTTTTTTTGTCATAATTTTTCGGAAAATGAAAAAATTTAAAAAATTATTTTCACTATTTTTTTATTTTACATACTGTCACCAGTGCAGTACAGCGTCATCATATAACTGGCATGGCGGTGAACAGCGACACTGACTGGTGACAGTATGAAAAAAAAAATATATATTTTTTTTAAATTTTTTTTTATTTTTTTATTACATTTTTTTTATTTTTTTTAAGATTTTTTTTTTCATATTTTACTATGACCAAAATAGTACAATGTTACCATAGTAACATTGTACTACTTTGGGGAAGTGATCAGTATTTTTTTTTTTTTTTTTTTTTTTACACAATTTGCTTATAGCAAAGAATTACTTTGCTATAAGCAAGCATTTACCTGAATGAAATCGATTCATTCAGCTTTTTTTTTTTTTTTTTTTGCTTAGCTGTGATTTGGTCACAGCTAATCACATGACATGTGCATGTGATTAGCTGTGACCATTCACAGCTAGGCACTAGTATACAATGGATGGCATCATGAATGAAGCCATCCATTGTATACAACTGTCATGTGACCTGCTGTGATTGGTCACAGCAGGTCACATGGTACCGGCAACGGGAGCCGGTACTCTGATCTGTCATCGACCGTGTCCGAGGTGCACGTGCGGTGACAGATCGCACTGCTGCGTCGCTCTGCAAACCGCGCATGTGCGGGAGCACGCCAAATGGCGTGCACCCGGAATACAGGAGCACATTTGAAGCCGCCAAACGGCCATTGGCCGGGCGGCTAATGGTTAAAAATGTATTTAATTTTTTGGCTTTTAATTCTGTAATTTCATAGCCTAATAACATAACATGCTTTTCAGCCATGTATTTCTATGTTCCTGCTTGGCAATATAAACAGTTGGAGAACAGATTTAGTATGGGGCTGTGTATAGTAGAGAGAGTCCTCCTAGATGTATTTAACCTATGGAGTACTAATGGGATTGTGTTTTCATACATGTTAATAAGTACTTACTATATCTGTCCGGTCTGTCTAGGACACCGTTCACTATTCAGCGACTCTGTGAGCTGGTCACCGACCCCCGGAGAAATTACACAGGCACAGACAAGTTTCTTAGAGGAGTGGAAAAGGTAAATTGTAAAGCTGAACTTCAGTCTTGCACAGTTGTACAGGCTCCTCTCCTGTATTGAAATTGCGTTCACTGCACACTGAGCTTTTCACAATGTACAGTTTATAAACTACTCGGTATATAAATTTACTCAAAAAAAATTAAAGGAACACTTTGAAAACACATCTGATCTCAATGGGGAATCTATCATGCTGGATATCTATACTTACATGGATGGGGTGTTAGGAACGTAAGGATGCCCCATCGTTTGATGAAAATAAATCACCCTACAGAGGACTGAATTCAAAGACACCCCAAAAATCAAAGTGAAAAAAGTATGCAGCAGGCTATTCCATTTTGCTAAAATTTCATTGCAGCAACTCAAAATGGTGCTCAGTAGTTT